TCTGAGAACAAAACGAGCCGATAGTGCAGAAAACATCCAAAGGTAGACAAACAGAAGGGGGGGATACATTTTCTAAGAAGTGAAACGAATGAATCGTGGATCATTAGGGGCATTTCTATAAACCTTTGGTCCATTTTTATCACGTAAATAAGGCACAGAGACGGGAGATCTGGAGTCATCTCTATTACCCCTTTCTAGTTAATGGATGGCTTTTAGTGGCAGTGGGAACAGCTCACTGACGCATGTCTATCCGGGTCAAACAACTCAGCAAGCGACCCGCTTTAAAATCACCGCGGCTCTGATCGACATGCCGTGGGAACACCAGAGCCCAGTCCACCTGCTAAATGATGTGATACCATTGAACGCAACATATAAACGTTAACACCGCGCCATTAGCTTCTGATCTAACAAGCAGAACCAACTCTGTTTCCATTGGATAAACGCGGAGCAGCTCTGGTGAGACGGATTCAGACAGATAATAGAGAGAAACAATAAAGCACACTGACTACACCCTGGCTTCCTTAACCCCTCTCTCAAACCATTTGTCTTCCTGGGTCAGAATATGGCCGTTATCGTCCTCAGACCATGCTGGTTTGTAACCATTTAAGTTAAAGTAACACTCGCTGGAACGAGAAACTGTGGGAGACACTAAACTACCCATTCCACATGTTAGAGCGGTTACATGTTTTAAATAAGGAAGAAATAGTCTTTGCAAATGTTTCATCATAATTAACAATAAAATTAGACTGAAGCTGCTGTTTTCAGTCTTGGATAAGCAAATAAAACATTAGCATCTGTTTTTCCTGTGGATACAGAAACCATTTACTTCTAAGAGGAAACTTAAAATAATCTGCTGTCCTTTCTGAAGTTACGGAGCTGAAAAAGAGGTGTTTCTCGCAAGAAATAAGGTTCAAAATTATTTTGCGTCCTCAGACGTAGAGATAGGCTCTGACTGAGGCAACCTTAGTACATACATTTATACCTTACAAAAATCCCAACACAATCACTAAACAATCACGCCTATTTAGACAGAGAAAAGGCACACCCAAAATATTTTATCCCACAAATAAGGACAAAATATTCTTCCACACCTTCATAAAACCGCGCCATTAGATTCTGACCTAACAAGCAGAAGCAACTTTGTTTACATTGGATAAACGTGGAGCAGCTCTGGTGAGAGGGATTCAGACAGATAATAGAGAGAAACAATACAGCACACTGACTACGCCCTGGCTTCCTTAAAGGTTGCTCTCCATTGTTTACTTCCCTGATTTCTGTCATGCTAGTGACATCATCAACGCAAAACCAGCGTGGTGGTGTCACCAAACACCCAGCTTCCCATCCAAGGGTGAGACCAAACTTTTTTGCCAACGGAAAAGGAAGCCAAAAGCGATAGTTAGCGGATCGACTCATGTTTGAAAAACACGAGTTAACCTGCTATTTTCAGTGGAAAAGAAGCTTTAGACATGAGTGTTCTGCCCAGACACTGAACCAGGTGAGTCCAATCTGCAGAGTGGATTAACCTGTGCAGATCAGACTCACCTGAACAAAGACATGACATGAAGAAGACTTGATGACTCCAGATCCCCCCCGTCTCTCATGTGGCTTAAAGAACAGAGTTTTGTCAAAGTAAAAGTTAAAGTCAAAAAAGTTTACTTGAATGTTTTGTCACCGGATTGGAAAGCGGCGTGATCACAGGACGGCTGCAGGAGGGGGCTCCGTCTTTACCTACGTCCAACTGGGAATATTTTTAGAAACGATGTCCAATTTGCTTTGTTCTGTAAAGTTAACATTTTTACAGGCCTGGTTTGAGTTTTTCTCGAGAACAACTCTCTGTAGGTTTGTGATGAGAAGTAATGATTTTATTTCACAACCAAAAACGCAAAAAGCTTTTGGATTCGATTGACTTCAACTTGCTTATGCCTCTATAATATTTATCTGCGAATAAATTCATTACAACTTTTTAATTAAAGGTTGCAATCTAAAGTTAGAGTGAGCGGTAAATATTGTTGAGTGAAAATCTGCAATATTTCAGCCTCTTTTTACTCTAACCTAACCCCCACCCCCCTACAGGTGATTAGAACACCTCGCCGGTTCAGCCAGGCCAACAATTCCCCCTAACGACCCCCTTTCAGAGACATAGACCAGTACTGGGTAATGGAGGCTAACAAAGAAGCCAAACGACGCCCATTCCAGAGGGTTGGACACTGTTTTTGGTCCAAGCTCTAAAACCTGGAACTAAACACTATTTCTGACATTTTGAATTAAAATTCTTCCTGGATGGAAGAGAAACGTCTTCAAACTTGGAAACAAAGTCCAGAGGATTGATTTTTTTAAACTTTTTTGGATGACAGAGAATCTTCACCAGCATAGCCTCATTTTACAGCATTTACTCTATTATGGACTCAATAAAAAACCTGCAAGTAATTCTCTTCTTTGTTAGATTCTATGGGAACATTTGGCAGATAGTGATTTTAATTCCAAGTCTACGTCCTCCTTTCTAAGCCATGGGCCCCCCCTTCACCCTGTCATAAAAGAAAGGGTAAAAAATAACGAGTTAGCTTGATAACTCGCTGCTCTGGAGGGATTACTGCATCATACTAATAAAAACCTGTCAGATTTGAAAAATACAAATTCCCACTGAGAGCAGACATCAATTAAAAACTACAAAAAAAGGTTTTGATGCCTTTTCTTTATAGTGAAATACTATAAAGCCATTACGCCCTGAGATACCGACTGATTTATTAAAGGTGGTAGTTTAATTATTAAATCACGAAGGATCGGGAAGATAAGTCTGTACATTTGGAGACACGTAAATCCATACACTGTATGAAAGAGTCTCTCCATCATTACATGATTAACAATTAGAGAGCTTTAAAAAGAAAATCAATGACTTTATTTTAGCTCCTAATGGTTTTAAAGAAGCACATTTTTTAATGTGAGTCTGTGGACATTGCTGTGCTGTTACCAGATTAATATAAAATAATGAACGATTCTCCAGGACATCATTTGATTAGTGGGGATGAATAAAATGAGCTCATTAAAATTAATACAGCATCAGACATGTGGAAATATTGAACAGAATGTTCTCTTCCCATCCGAGCTACATGGCCATGACCAGAATGAGGTAAATGCACCTTTTAAAGGTAGTGTGACGTGCAGAGCAGTAACATGATCAAAATAATGCTTTATATTTCCAAAAACTCGCAGTAAGACTGAGAACAGCCCAGTGGAAGTTAAGGGGCGGAGCGATCGTCTAAACAAAACGAAACCAGGAAAAGATCCAAACCTTTATCTTCATTGGGAACATCAACTTGAACTGATTCATGTTCTACTTGATCAACAATCAAACGAGCCAAAATTTCTTTATGAAAGCAAACATTGACCGTTGGCTTTTATTTTGAAAAGTAAATTTCCTAAAAGTTTGGTTGATTCCAAAGGAAAACACAATAAATGTCATAATTTTACTTTGTTTCTCTCAATGAATTATTTAATGGTCTCGTTAACGCCTGTTCTTCTAGCAAAGTTACTGGATGATGGTTGCATGATTCCAAATAAATAAAACAAAATAAAATAGAGTAATTAATGTGCTGTACCTAAAGCTAAAGGCTACTAACACATCCATGAAACACCTTTTATTTTGAAAGGTTTGCAGAATAAATGTCTTAATTCGACTGAAAATAACATATAATATATAATTATTTTATTTTGAAAGGTCCTAAATATACCAAAATGTACTTCTGATTTAGATGTGAAAGGATTCTGCACCAACAGGAATAGCAGGATGAAGTCATGTCAGACGTTAGCTGAG